GAATTTCTCTTATTGTAGTTTGTAAATTTTTAATTTATTTTTATTCCTAATTCTCTATTTTCAATTTCTTGTTCCTTATTCTTCTTATCTGTATAATTAATTATTATTCAGACGCTTTACAACATATTTTTTAGACCTCATGAGTAATGATTATATTATATATTTGCAATAATATCGTATTGCAATAATATTGTAAATTGCTACAAAATTGTATTTTTCATTAATCATTAATTATGTGGAAAAGTCGAAAAGAAGAGATCGACGTTACTAGCCGAGATATATATTTATAAGGAAATGATTTGAGAACTGCTTCGAGATGGAGCTACAATTCCGTTAAAGTGCTTATATTTCAACCGGGTTTAGTTTAGTCTAGATTCATATTATATTGCATTGAATCTAATTTAGTTTAGATTTAACTTATTGTTTATTAATATCACTTTTACTACTTATTATTTAGTCATAGTTGCATAGTTCAAAGTTTCAGAGTTTACGAAACGTTCCTTATTTTTTGATTTATATTTCCGAAGTTAATTTGCTACATGTTAATTTAAATTTCTCTTTTTTCTTTTTACTAATCTTTTCATTATATCTTACTTATTGCTAGCTATATGAATAACAATAGAATTATTTGTAATATTGACCCAACGCTCGAGCTCAGTACTTTGTGAACGAAACTTTTTACTAATAAAAAAAAAGAAATATGTTGGAATGACGTGTGGCTTAATACTTAAATTAAAAATCTTGAAATATTTGAAAATTTCCTTGGAAACTTAAAAAAGCTCTGGATTCAGGATTTAAATTTGAGATTAAGAATTAAGAAGGGAATAAAAAAAGAAACTATTGACTCTTCTTTTTTTTTCATATAAAAAAAGATATACATTATACGTTAATAGGTGATCGACATGATATGTTGAATATTCTGTTGAAAGTTGCATATAAATAATAAAACAATAAATTATTTGATTCATTCTATCTTTGAAATTATCTTTTTTCATTGAATGTATATTTCCTATTCATAAATACGTTACTGTTCTATGTTAGTTATACATGCAAAGATAATTTTTATTTGTGAACGACACTTTCGTCGTCCATAATACTTTATATTTATTACTTTATATTTATTACTACTTTAAAATATTATATATCTATGTTACAAAATTAATTTTTTCAACAATTTATTTACACATTCAGAGACATTATTTTTTTACGTCGACAGGTCGTAGCGTAGAAATATTAAAAGAATATATGAATTATTAATAAATACTGAATAATATTATATATAAATTAATAATTATTAATAAATTTTTCTGAGATTCTTTCTCAAAAGAGTTCTTTTAAGATATTTTTAAATCAAACGATATTTGGATTTCTCACGAGGCGAAGTTCCGTAAACAGACGGATAATATTCCTCCATTCAGAGATTAATAACCGTTCATTAATCAATCGATTAACGCGAAAACAACGTCGACGTCGCGTGTGTTTTTTCCACTAATCCGATTAAGCAACGCAATACGTAATACCGTCGTATCGCGATATCGAGCGTGCAGCGTCACTCGTTAAGATGTGTTCTCGGTTCGCGGAATGCGATAATGCGCCAGACGCCGAGGCGATTACGTAAAATTATTGGCAACTTTCGGGCCCCGGAAAAGAGACGTCGCGCGTCCCGGCGACGAGGTAATATCACGTTGGAACTGTATTAAGAGTATGAAATATGACTGGGCGTACCGGCGTGCCGTAACGCCGTATTATTACTCCGATCCATCGTGTCGTAACTACTGTAACGTGGCCCGCATAGTAAATATTAAACACCCGGGCCCGGTGTCCGCACGTACGCCGTTACGCGACATATCGCGAAATTTGACGCGCAAACTTGCCCGAAATCCGAAGGGACGAAGAGGCAAAAACGAGGAGGCCGCCTACCGAATTTATAATAGTCGATTGATGATCGGGAATATTTATTTGTCCAACATATTTTCCTTTCTTTTCAGATTTGTCTCTTATAAAGAAAGAAACAAAGTTTTCGTACTGGGTGTCATATAAGAAGATATTTTTATGGTGTCATCGCTGGATCTTGGTGCGTAATAATTATTTTGGAATTTATTAATAAAAAAGTATCCGTTATTGTTAACAGCGACAGATCTTATTGATTTCTAATTTCTAATTATTTTAAATAATCAGACGTTCTCATTATTTTCTTTTTTTTAGATTTGTCTCTTTTTATAAAATATAACGAGGAAACAACATTCCTTGTTTCTACTAGATGTTGTATAAAAATGGCATTTTTATGGTCATTGCTGCTGAATCTTGATGCATAATAATTATTTTTAAATTCATTAATATTTTAATATTAAATTTATTAATTTATTAAAAAGAGATAAATCTGGGAAAGAGAAAGCGAGAATAATAAAAGGAGAATATCTGACAGTTAAAGTAACAAAATTAGAAATTAATGAGGTCTGTCGCTGCTTACGACGATGGACCGGTGGAATGCTTCGCGTCTTTCAGTGTAATCTCGCAACAATGCATTGTCGTCACTTTGTTTCGAAATAGCGGTCTATCGATTATTGTTAACTATTTTGAGGACGAGAATGGGATACCGGACAATTTTAGCAGATCCCCCCATGGTGCGGCCGAATATTTAGTTGGCCGCAAGATTTGGCGCATTGGGCGCATACTTTCCGCGATATTATAAGCCGAGCTTGAGGCTGCCTCGACGTGCGACCATTGATCAAATAGTTGGTCTCAGTTCCGATCAAAGTGCTGGTATGTGTGAACGCGCGTTTGTTGCTAAAATCATGCTGTCAAAATTTCAAATTGATTGCGGCACGCCCGGCCGAAATACTTGACGTTGCAACGAGAAACGTTTCCGATGTCTTTGACGATATGGAAAATACATATATGACACATAATATAATAAAAAAAAATATATATATTTTTTTTACAATAATAGAACGCCATTTTATTTTTAAATAGACTAACTA